AGAAAGGACTATAAAAAAATATTACCTGTTTTTTTTATTGTATAATAAAATAAATTTGTAGTTTTTAGATTAATTTAAAGATTAATTTATTAGATTTAAATTTATATTTTTTTTTCATTGTTAAAAATATACCTGAACAATTTATTCAAAATATATGTGACAAAATATCAATGGACAAACCTTTTATCAACATTGGCACGTACTATTGGAATGGCCTGTCAACTAAGTAGATGTGGTCCCTAGTAATTTAGCTTATTAAATTTTTTGTTCAGCATGATTAATCAGCGACATTTTTTCTATATAAAATCGGCATTCTGTAACTTTTTTTCGATTTTCAGGTTGTAATTTTCTTTTCTTACAAACCCGAATTTTTTTACTTTATCTATACTATTCGCTCAGACATTTTGGATAAATTAAGCTAGCTGGTAATTTTTTTTTAAATTAAAGCTAAATTTTGGTACTATAACTTGTTTTGTATAGGCCTTCTATCAACTCATTGCAATATTGTACAATCAATACAACATTGCGAAATTATAATAATACAACATTTTATGAATTAATCTTGCTACGCTATATTAATTGCTTTAATTTAAGCATGTTTTCTTTTTTTAATAATTTATGTAAAATTCTTTCTTTTACTGTATATAGTAAATTACGTTGTTGATACAGTAATTAATACGAGCCGATGGGTGTACATATATATGATGACATTTGTCACGGATAATCGTGAAATCGGATGATGGTAAAATTTGGGGTCTCCTTTTGAAAATATAGACTCTACTGAAATCTACTTATACTCTTTTCTAAGCAACTCTAATTCTAAATTCTAACCTACACTAAAAAAAATCTAGGATAATACACCCTAAAAAATTCTAAAATTTCATATTAAATTAGGTCGAAATTTCACTATCATCTGATTTCATGATCATCTGTGACAATATTTATGCAATAGTTAGAAGACTTGTTCGAAGATACAGTATAATGAATGTTGAGTTACAGTATAATGAATGATACAGTATTCTATTGATAAAGTTAATTATATAATTTATATTATATAAATTAATGTAGTATATAGCACGTTGATCTGTGAAATGAATATATATAAAGATTATTTTTTGAGGTTCATTTGAACTACAAAAGTTTATAATAACTAAAAAATTTTAAGAATTAAAAATTCGAAATCTCGAAAATGAATATGAAAGAAATTCTTCGAGAAGAAAATTATAAATCGGTTTCACATTTTTAAGATGTGATAAAAATGCACAAGAAATTTCGTATTTGCAATATTATTCTGTTTTTTATATCTATTATTGAAGCTTTATCGTTAATATGATTTTGTATAAAGTTCGAGCTGATTTTATCAATTTTTTATAGGATCAGATGGTCGAATTATTCATATTTGTATACTGAGCCTTACGAGACAATTGTTTATAGAACTTTTGACAATCAACCTGAACTTTTATATGGGTTCGGGCATAAAGATTATGATGGATTAGTGCCATATTAAATAGTTTCAATTTATTTGAATTGGATTGATTTTTTTATGAATAGAATTTATGGCAGTGAATAGTTTGAACATCTGATATTTTGTAAAATTGGCTTTTATTTTATTAAACTAATATTAACGTAAAGTTAAATTTGTATTTATTATGTAACGTTAAATTTTTAAAACTCCGCCAATATTTGATAATCTTGGTCGAACTTTTTATTAAAACTTAGTTTCATGACATTTTTGAATACCTAATCTGTAAAGTAAGGATCTTCAAAACTCTTTCCGAAATTATATAATGGTATTCACCTTCATACAGATTTATGTATCATATATATGTAGAGAATTTACGTACATACGTACAACTTTTGAATTTAAGAACTCTCTCCCATTAATCCTTCATAATAAGTGATAATGATATCGAATCCGAATCATCTATTAATAGAGAAAATTCTTTAATAAATTCTGATACTTGGATCGATGATTACAAAAAACGGATTCGATCATCAGCAGATCATTATGAAATAAAACCCACTGTGCCTGATTTATTAGACCCTAAAAAATAGAAAAATTATCGAGAAGACTTATCTAATTTTTTAGAATATATGAGTTTAGAACCGATTTATTCTAAACTTGTCCTTATTGATAAACTATTAAAAGATTTTCCAGATAAGTCCGATCAAAAGATAATCGAAGAATATAAAAAAACCATACAAGATAAAAATAGACCCATTACAAAGCATTCAAGAAAGAAAAATAGTAATACTAATACATTTTATCAAAGAAAAGGAAAGCGTAGTCATAATATAAAATTTGCTAAAAATTTATTAACAGCAACACGAAAATTAGAAAACAATGAACTAAGAAAAAATTTTTTTAATCGGGCAAAATTTACGATGTCTATATTGACTGATAAGGACATTACACCAATAATAGATGAGTTTAAGGAGTTATTTAAGGATTTTCAAAAATTTTAACTTGTTACATTGATATTGTTTATGATTGATTAGTATAAGTAGATTAAGATAATTTATAAATTTAAAAAAATAAGTTTTGCACAAATTAAGAATAATATAAGCAATAAAGCTTTTTTAGTATTTGTCTAAGTAAGATCATTATTATAATTAATTTTCAGTAACGGATCGCATCCCTAATCACATCTCATAACCTAATGCAGTTTTTCTAAAAAATCTGATCTAGTTAATTTTATTTTTCGTACTTAAAACTGAGTTAATCATATGAAAAATAAATCGGTTTCAAACTCTAATATCAGCTGCTCCAACTAGGGATATTAGACAGTCTGGCCATGTGGTCAGAATTTATATTAGACTATGGTTCAATTGAATGGATCATGTTTTTGGCCGGTGGTTAGTAGAGAACTGCTGTAATAAGAAATAATACAGTAATGCATAACTTTAAAATTGGTTACAAGTTTTAAACAAATTAGACTTGTTAGACAAGTTTTTTTATTGGTGTTTTACTTATACATATCTTTCTTTGAATAATAAATGGCTATTTAATTAGAATTTTTAATAAAGTTCTATTGGTGCTTTTCTTTCTTTCTTTAAGTAGTAGGTTCTCATACACAAACACCTGCATTCTGCATTAGGTCACAAGCCTTGTTGAAATTTCTTATACACGAACATCTCGGTTAGCGCCATTTGCATTAGGTCACAAATCTTGGACAAATATTATTAAATTTATTCTCTTTAATTAAA